TTCTTTGGCTGTTGCCTCGCTTCTTCTTTGTATACCCCGTTAATCGTAGCGAACGAGGGTATGTTGTATTAGTGAGTACAGAAAGAAGAGAGTGCCCAAATAACGAGAGAGCTATGGAAATGGTTGAACCAATAAATCAGAACCAGAATCTCAGCGGATTGTGAAGTATTGGCTTAACAAATTCTGACTCTTTCCATCCACAAATCAAAGCGTGTCCCTGAGTAACAGGTAACCCTTAGTCCGTAGCTTAATCCACAGATTTCTTACTTGTTTTTTTTTATCGTATTTCTTCTAACTCGTCGTCGTCGTCGACGTCGTTGTGCGTGGCTCTTGTTGCTGCTGTTGTTGTTGCTGCTGGTTGGCTTGTCTCGTTTATTGATCGTGTTGCTGTGCACACACACACACACACACACACACACACACATCAACAGATACCAACACACAGTTGCAGTTACATACGCAATTCAATGAAGAAATGCTCCAAGTCAATGACCCGGAAATTGTGTCTAAAAAAGCAACAACAAGCAGCAGCACATTGACGACTGGCTGCAGCATAGAACTTTTACCTAGACAGCGGCGCATGCGACTGACGTCGGACGTTGAGCGAACCGGCAGGCAGACAGGCAGTCCAATGAACTGCATTCAACGCATTCGCACAACAAACCCGCAGCTTTTGCCAGAGCTACGATTGTTGCAACTGCAGCAGCAGTAACAGCAGCAGCAACATCCATAACCAACGATGACAATCAACGCAATTAATGCTCATCCGGCCATCAGAGTGATGCTGTGGCTGGACTTCCTTCTTCCATGCCGCAGCCGCCAGTCTCCCTTCCGCACCACAAAACCCTTGGGGTCAGAAAGTATCTAATCTATACGACAGTCGGCTAGTACGCTCTGCTCTGCCTCTGCCCTGCCCCAATTGCATTTCCAAAATGCCAAAATGCCCCATTGGCCGTTGACTCAATTTATTGCATATCGAAAAAATTAAGCACAAAAGTTCAGTGCCATAGGCCAACAAGCCACGTTGTCGTCGGAGTCGTAGTCGCTGTAGTCGACATCGTTGTGCCTGTGCTTGTCGTCTCTCTAGTTGTAATGAGAATTTATGTTCTGACAAGATGTGCACACACACACACAAACACACAGAGAGAAGTTTGCTAAGTTCCAGCAAAGACCAGAAGACTGCCACCAGACAGCGACCGAAAGTGCCGGCAAACATGCAAACTGCAATTAGATTTGGGGGCAAGTGTTCCCACAGCGACACACAGAGAAGAGGCAAGGCAGCTGAAGCTACATGCGAGGATGGTTTATTTGGAGCAGCAGCAATGGGAATGGGCCCCAAAAAAGATAGAGGAAGGGAGAGACAGGGAGAGCTGATGCTGTGTAGGAAAGGATTCCCTAAGCTGGTACCAAGACCCTTGCTTCCCCATCTAAACATGCATTAGAAGTTTTTATAGATTATGTAGTGGACTCTTTTGAGATCATTGACATCATAGAATCGTTTATTCTTCCCTTAAAAATAATTCCTCAAAATTCAAATGTTTGTATTCCCCAATAATAGATAAACAATTACCACAATTCCCCCAGTCTCCAGTATTACTCCAATTCCCAACACTCTGAAAAATCCCCTTACGCCATCAGATCGAATGTGCTGCATGCAACATTGAATCACTTGCGCCCATTGAAGGGTCTGGGAGGTCAAAGTTGCAGCAAGTCTCACGACACAATTCGCAAATGGAGCACCAAGCCCAGTCCAGTGTGTGTGTGCCCCTTGAAGAGGCAGAAGAGCAGACCAGTGGAGGGGCAAACCACTGCCTTGTGGCGGCAGGAGAGCAGCATCAACAGACAACGAAGAGATGCGTGTTGGTAGACTTTTAGTTTCGCATTTAATGCAATTAACCTCAAACTAAATGGCAATCACTTTAATTTGCTTTAATTAAGCTTTTTTATATGCCTATGCGGTGAGGAGCGAGGGAGCAGGGAGAAGCCCCAAAAACAACGCCTACAACGGATGAGAGATGGTTCTTTAATGAATTACAGAGCAAGAGAGAGGGCGACACTTGTCTCTTGTCTCTGTCTCTTTTTGTTGCTGCACTCAACGCCCACTTGTGGTGGTACATTTCGGGGCCTGTTTCCTGTTTGATCTCAAGTGCAGCTCTCAAGGATATGCCACACACTCCCCCATGCCATCCAATTCGATTCGATTCGATCTTCTCTTCATTGGAATTCGAACACAAAAGAGCCAGGCAGCTCCACGCATGCGCACACTTAACGAAACGCTTAACGGATGTATACCCCTCCTTTTCGCTCTCTCCTCTCCTCTCTTCTCTTTTTTTTTTTTTTGTGTGTGCATCTCTGACACTTGTAACATAAGCATGAGTCCCTGACATTTGTTTCCCTTGTTGCCAGCCTCCAGATGCAGCTACTCCTACTCTCTGCTATTCCCACTCCACAGAGAACTCCACTTGAGAGGCGGCTCGTACGTGCCCAGATGCGTGGGAATGACGAGATGTCTGGAGAGAGAATCTCCAACTCCAACTCCAACTCGAACGCCCAACGTTCAGAGAGTGAGGACGACAGGCAGGACTGGGCCATAACTCAACGGCCGCAGTCGAGGCGAAATTTGAGACTTGTTAATGCGCCAAATTATAGCCGGCGACAGCGGCCATATACAGCGGATATATATGGCCGATATTGGCAGTTAAAAATAAAGAGAAAAATGAACGAAAGAAAGAACCTTTTGGAAGGAATTTCATTAATTTGTTGCCAAAGTGTAATTTGGTAGGCAAAAAAGGAAATTGAAAAGAAATCCCCACAGACACGAAGCGGCAGACCGATCCTCGATGCGAATTTATGAATGCGTCTTGGAAGTTTCTTCAACGAACTCAAACTTAAACTCAAACTCGAACTCGAACGAACGCACGCAATGCAATCTCTGAAGGATCGCCTGTGGAATGTGGCTTAAATTATGACTTAAATGGCGTTGGCAGTTTATGCGGCTGCTGTGGCAAAAGTTGGCCAGCCGACAGCAGCAGCGGAAACGTTGGCCTGGCTTTTAAGCCAGCTTTCTTTTTCTGTGTTGTTTCGCCCATTCTTAAGAGCAGTCAGCCCAGCCCAGAGTCGCCGCCGCGTCTTAATAGCATCATCATCTTTTCATCTACGAGGCAGGCATCAGGCCAGAGCTCCTCCATTCTACAAAGTCTCTCTCTTAGCTACAACTGCAGCAGCCGCCGTTCCACACTCCAGTCCCGACTCTTCAGTGTGTTGTTTGCTTTATTTGGTCTTCCACGCTGTAAAGTCGTTTTTTCTTTCTTTCTTTCTTTTTCTTTCGTTCATTTTCATCTTTGTTTTTGGTTGTGGCTCTCCCGCATTCTTGGCCACATCCTTCACAAGGTCATGCCAACAGACAGGCGCGACTACAGAGGTGGAATGATAAAAAAAAGAATCTAGCAAAATGTGCAAACAAATGTGGAAACATACATACGCATTCGTACTTGCCATGGCTATGGGTACTCCAAGTGGTATGGTATATATTTTTGTATAAATCGTATTTAAGCAAAGTAATCTTTAAGCAAATAATTGTTGTCCCGGTGTATGCGGTTTCTGTTTGACTGACTCGCTGCCATGGCATGGCATGCCCACTTCCCCATTCCCATTCCCATTCCCATTCCCTGTTGTTGTCATCGTCATCACTTTTGTAGACACACACGGCAACACACAGTCCACACACAGATGCACGCCCCAACACATGCCCCATTCGCGCCCATCGCCCATGCCCCATGTGTGCACAAATTGTTAGCGACTCTCTGCCACAGAGCCGAGATACAGTTTGTTTGGTTCGCTTTTTTTTTGTGCCATGCCCCCGAGCCATGTTAAAAAATAAAAACCAACAGAGACAGAGAGAGAGAGAGCAAAAACAAAAGATACATTTAATGCAGAGCTGGAAGATTGAATGATGCCAGGAGATGCTCCTGCTTCAGGTCCTGCTGCTCCTGCTCCTGCTCCTGCTTATGTTGATGGTTAAACTGGCTGTTAAATTACCACAGTGCTTGCGGGTTGGTTTGTTTTTTGTTACCCCTTTGACCCCTTCGAGGAACATCTGGGGGTTGCACAAAGGGTTTGATCTGCATGCCATTTTGAGCGCTTAAATTTGAGGAGAAAGTTGGTTTTCTTTTGTTCAAAAACTGCCTAAATATAATGCATATTAGAATAATTTTTAGTCTCCCCGAAACACCTCAAGATCGGTATCTTTAGCAGCCTTTAAACTTCTTAAAATATTCATTAATTTCGCTGCTAAATATTCAATGGGAAATAATAATGGAACTGGCCATAAAACTTCTATAAATGAGCAACTTTTGTTATTTTTGTTACCCAAAAAATATGTTTGTCTCAATCACATTTCACCTCCCACAGATCTTCCTTAACCATCTACCGACCTGCTCTAATCATCGCACCTTTAACAACTATTCCACGTATGACACCCCAAAGATGACATCGAAATACCTATTCCTTATCCATTTCCCCCTCTTCGTCTTATATTTTTGGGGTGTTAATAAGATATCAAATATGCATGCGGCGGCCATTCTACGGACAAGTATGCCCAGGCAGGCCACAAGCCAAAGATACAAACGCGCAGACCCAAACGCTAAACCCAAATCCCAGTGCCCAGTGCCAGAGGCAGTGGCAGTGCACAGTCCCCGCATTCGAGTCGTCTCTCAATTCCAATTCCAATTCCAATTCCAATACCACGACGAGACCCAGTTCCGAGACTCAGACTTTGGCCCGTGGCCGGCGCGAGAGTCTCGCTAACGAGGCGCGTTTGAAAATGCAGCATAAGAAAAATAAATAAACCAACCAAACATCAAGAGCATCGAGAGACACACACGAACCGAAGCAGAAAATACCCTAAATATTCCACTTTTTTGGATCACATATTCATTGAATTTGAACTTCTATCAGAGTTTTGTATGCCTCATGAAAAATGAGAAGTAAGTTCATTCGAGGAGTAAGTTCCAAACGATAAACAACTAAATTTTCAGTTTTTTAGGAAAAGCCCCAATACCGTAATTAAATTCTTTAAAAAAAAAAACTAGTATTAAAAAGTTTGTAATTTTGAGTTTTGTAATTTTCAATATTTAATTTAAATCTTAACCCGTGCCACAGTTCCCCTTGAACCCTTGGACAACATTCTGGCGCGGGCTTCGGTCCGTATCGTCTGTGACCCCCTTTGGATGTAACTCAAAACTGGAACTATTCCTCGGGTGTAAACTCACGGAATTTGTAATTGAGGCTCACCTGCTGCTGCCGAGGACTTTAACAACAGGACCTTTAACGAAAGGTTCTTCGACATACAAGTTATCAGTGCACTGCTGTATTTATATATTTTTATACCGTCAATGAATATATTTTGTATAAAGTAGAGAAAACAACTCGGAAAATGACACTTTTTTCGACACTCACTGACAGCTTTCCCAAAGCAAATGTTTCCCGAATGTTTGTGCTCCACTTCCTAGCCATAATCCTCATGCCCCGCTGCAGAGTATTTTTGAAAACGGCAGCAGCCGAAAAGTGCGACACAGCCGGCGATCGTCGGCGGATCGATCGGCGATGAATGTGCCCTGAAGTTTTGTTTATTTTCAGAGATAAAAAACTACAACAAAAAAACTAAGGAGAAAAAAAAATATGTATAAAAATAATAAATCGACAGCAGCGGCAGGCAGCCGCCACAGCCGTCTTTGGAGAGGCACAGTGACTGGGCGGAGGGGCAGGGGACAGCTCCATAATAAATGCCCCAAAGCACTCAAAGCTTTTCTTATTCATTTATTTTTTTGCACACACAGCTATAGATACCAACGGGGAGGATGGGGGGAGATACATTTCTCAGATTTCTTTATTATTCGATTTGATTCAAAAATAATTCAAACGAATTTTTTGTACAAGTTATTTTTGGGTTTTAGAGCGCGTGCGCGCAGCCGCCGTGGCACTCGAACAAAAGAGAAGCTGGCTGTAAGAGCTGGTGGGGGATTTTGTTCAGTGTAGGTTTTCATAAAGCGTAGCACAGTAGCTCTACACGCTGCTCCGCTCTCCGTACGAGTGTGTCTCAGTGTGTGTGTGTGTGCGGACGATGACGCTGGGTTTAAAAAAATAATGAATAAAAGAAAACCTGTACACAAAAAACCAGACAAATAAACCAAATACAAAAGCCTTCTCGTCTCCTCTCCAGCGGCTGTCCGGCAAGTGTCCGCTCCGGCCAGTGTCCGCTGTGTAGGCTGTCCGTCTGTCCGTCTGTCCGCTGTTGTCTGTCCAGCGTCTTGGTCTTGGTCTTTGGTTGGATTTTAAGTGCGTGCAGCGTGGCAAACTGGTCCGCTGAGTGGCTGTGGCTGTGCCTGTGCACAGTAGCCGCATGCTGGCAGAAATTTCTCCAACTCCAACTGCAGATCGTACAGCATCCCATCCCAACCTGATCACTGAAGTTCTCTCTCTCTCTCTCTCTCTCTCTCTCTCTGGATCTTTGGAGGCTCTCCTGCTGCTGTTGCAAGCGAGACACATTATGGCTAATAGTTGCTTTGCCTGCGCTGCTGCAAGAGGCGTGGCTGTGCAGTGCTTTTTTGAGTGGAGTGGACTGAAGTGGAGCTTCTCTGCACTTATTATTATTTTGTTTCTGTTTGGGTTTGCTGCTGCTGCTGCTGCTGCTGCTGCTGCTGCTGCTGTCTGGGTCTGGTCTTTTCTAGAGAAATCTCCAAAGAACTTTTGTTTCGTACGTCCTTTAAGGTCATTAAACGTGCGTTCCACTGAGGAATCTCATGACTCATTCTCTCAGTAACAGTCTCAGTCCATCTGTGGCCAGGCAAGACTGCAGTGCAGTCCCAGTCCCAATTCCAGTCCAGTTCCAGTTCGAAGGCTTTGGCTGATTGGCTTAATCATCGCTCAAGTTCAGCGTCAAAGGTCGCCCCGGAATTTGTGTAAAAATGTTTATGACATTTTCTTTTTTTGTGCCAATGCCGACACTCTGCCGCACAAAAGGGTTAAGCTTTAATTAATTAATCAAATCGACAAGGAATTTGTACAGTTCTGTGAGTCAGATCTCCGCCTCAGACAGATATATTTGTTGATTGTACCGGATCTGGTCAAGAGGTCACATTCATTTCTCCGAATTTATCCCTCTCTGAATATCAACTTAATTAACTCTTAACTGTAAAAGAAAACAACAACAACAACAACAACAGCAGCAGAGAGTAAGTGTGTGCGCCCCCGAAATTGGAATGGGGCGGAAATGATTGCGTATACGGCAATGCCCTCGAGTTTCAGAGGCCCATGCCCCAGGCCCGCTCAATCTCGAAGCTCAGCCAAAGGCAAAGCCAAAGCTGAAGTCTGGGACCCTCTCAGACGAGCACGGACTACGGAGTAAAGAGTAAACTTAATTCCAAGTCGTATGTAATAATTATGTTGATGGAATATTCATAACAGGAAATCCCTTTTACAGCACAGCAAACAGCACACAGCACCCACAACCAGCACTCCATCGCCGTATCCGTATCTTTGTGTACGCGAATGGCAGTGCCAGTGGCAGTGCCAGTGCTGTGATTAAAATTACATAGAGTCATGCACAATCAATGCAAATGGGAATGTAAATGTTAAATACAAGAAAATATTTATACGCAGTCCATTCATAATAGGAATTGTGTTTTGTTGTTTTGTTGTGTTGTGTTGTGTTGTTCACTCACTGAATATCAAATTACTCTCAGCTCGAATCAGCTTTGAACGATCGAAGTGAGTGTCGTTGGTGTGGGGCTGGAGGGTTCCATGGAGTAGGAGTAAAGTGCACTGCAATTGCAATGCAAAGCGAAGATATGTCTTGATTGAAGATCGATAAACATAGATTTCGAGTACAATCATCAAGGGATGAGCATTTGTATCAGCTGGGATTGATATTTGGTTGGCAATGAATCGGATATAAGTCGATAATATTATCTATTATTATCTGTAATTAATATAATTATCGTTTCTTACAAATTCCTATATTTTTTATAGCTACTTTGAGTGGCATAATATTCATTATTATCGAATTGAGCCATAAAAGTTCGATGAAAATATCGACTATCCATCATTTCCATATTCTTTATGATTTATCACTGAAATTCTTAGCTATTAGCCATCAAATTATCTAGAATTAATCAACTTTAGCTCGCTGAAGCAACAATTTATGTTATTCTGTAAATGTCTTCCTTTTGTTTTGCATTTTGCAACCAGTTTGCCAGCCCCCACCGCTCGATTTCGAGCTGAAAACTTATAGTGTCTAGTATTTGTTTTAGTATGGGGTTACACATTTGCCGATCTATGAGGTGGCTTTGCACAGCGGCTATCGCATAAGCCTACAGCTCGTATGCACATCAATTGCGATTTATTTACTAGCACCCCGCACACAAAAAAACAAAAAACAAAAACCCCACAAGGCACGGCACTACGATTACTATTACTTTATACAATGCCGCTATAGCTGCTGCTGCTGCTTATTTGGATAAACATAAGACCCCCAAAGAGCATTAGTGGCCCCAGGGCGAACCAATGTTGGATCCGTTGGATCCGGCGATCCATCCATGCCGAGGGCCACACACAAGCGCACATCAACATCAGGAGTCCGGTGGAGACTCATTCTGGAATCCTATACCATATTATATGGCATATAGCATCATTCCATCCGCTGGGCCCTCATTCACAAGCATTCGGTGTCCGTCGGCGTTGCTGTCTGTCGTCTCCTTCGCACTTGCCGCGTTTGCCTATTTTTGTATGCGTAACGCAATCTATTCATAAAATGAAATTAAATAAAATAAAATAAAATAAAATAAAATAAAATAAAAACAACAACAGCACAGCCAGCCAGTGGCAGTGGCTACAGCAGAATAAAGAAACAAATAAAGAGAGAGAGAGGGAAAACAACAACAACTAAATACATATTTTCATTTACAAGACCGGAAGAGCACTTCCTCCGCTGATGTGATGTGTGTGCTGCTGGCTGTACCATCAATCGGATCCGCACCCGCACCCGCACCCGTCATAAGATAGATATAGCCCCGACCCGAGCCGACAACGCATTGCCTCATGCCTCATATGCCTCACATGCCCCATGTTGTTATATCTGTTATGCTTCGTTCTGTTCTGTTTCGAGTCGTATGCTAAATGCCTGCCCTGGCCCGTGTCCGCTTTGAATATGCAACTGTGTGCCTCTGCCTCTCCGCCACTAAATACGTTTAGTTTTCGTTGTTTTATCTCCTCTGTAGAGCTGTAGTGGCTCTCCTCTGTGGCTTAGCAAACCGCCTCCATCCGCTGTCCGTCTGTCGCGGAGTGTCCGTTCGTCCGTCCGCTCATTGGAAATGCAATGCCATGTGTGTGATTTTTATTGAAGCACATTCAGATATAAAACAAGATTTATGCGAAATGAATATATTCATGTTTGCTGCCTCAACCGATAAGCTACGGATATACTCGTACATGTGTGGGGGATATCGCAATAGATCTTCCCACCTACCTAGGCATATGGAAAAGGAAAACTTTTGAGATATTTTCTGCTTTTGCCAGAACTTTCTGACCTCCAGAAAAGATATCCAATCATTAGTTTGGTCAATTTTCAACTGAAAACCCATACAAACCCTCAGTTAACTTTTGATCTTCAACCTCAAGCACTGCCCACATCTAAGTTTAGACCATTCCATGCCCATTTTCAGCATTTCTTTACGAAGTTTCGATTCAAATTTAACGCCAATCAATGAAAGAAATGGACCGAGAAAATATTTGAAATAACATTTAGCACTAAACTGGCGGCGCCTAAAGTGCTCATTAAATGGTGGGAGGGTCGGAACGGGCTGGCAGGCAGGCAGCAGAGAAAAGCAAAAATAAATTTCGAAAATTTGAAATTTGGGGGAACCATGGCCTGGCCATGGTTCGATGGTTCGATGGTTCGCTGCTTCGATGAATGTGTATTTACGGCATGCGTTATTTATAGTTTGAACTCAAACAGGTGTAAGCCGTAAAATGGCAAAAACAATGTTTAAATCATTTCATTGTAAACGATGATGCTCATTCCAGGAAAATCCAGCAAAAAGAAGAGCAATCCAGCGACCCCAGAATTGGCTCTGCCTGCCTGCTTCTCCTTGTTCTCATTTATAATTTTTGTAGTTCATCAAAATTTTGTTTGGCACGCGGCAGCCCCCTTGCGGCGGCATTGTTCTGGTGTTGAGAAATTCAGCCAAAGATACAGATACTCTCACACACACA